ACATTGGAAAAAAAAACGTGGCTCTAAGCCTTAACGCAAATTGAAAGCTAAGAAAAACGTAATGCACTCTCTATATCATTCCCAGATAAGGTAGCATGAAGGGAGGGAGGACAGAGGGCCGAGGAAGGTAACGCCACCAGAGGAAGGAGCGCAAAGGCCACGGAGGGAAGAAGGAAGGAGAAAGGGAGGAAGAAGGGAGGGCCGATGATGAGCACCAAAAGCACGTCTGGATGGATTCACGATGAGCACGCATCCACGGTGACCACGTCTGGATGAGCATGAAAATTACTGATCAATGATGAGCACGTCTGCAGAGCACAGTGTGTGTGTGAGAGAGAGAGAGAGAGAGAGAGAGAGAGAGAGAGAGGGAGAGAGCAATGAGCACCAAGGAGAGCACCAAAGGAGCAAACACGATGAGCAGCAATGAAGACAAAGCATGGATCCAAGCACGGATGAGCACCGGCCACCAATCGAACCACGATGAGCACCAAATCGAACCAAAGCACGATGAGCAGCAAGCACCAAATCGAACCACGATGAGCACCGAGCACCAAATCGAACCACGAACCACGGCGACCACCAAAGAGAGAGCACAGTGAGAGAGAGAGAGAGAGAGAGAGAGAGAGAGAGAGAGACGCACCCATAGAGCACCGACCGACAATCACACGCGCACGGACCACGGAGCACACAGGCGCACCGAGAAAGAGAGACGAAGTGCCGGGCGATTGGAGAAGTGGCCGTGGGCGGCAACAACATTGCGCGGGCGATTGGAGCGGTGGGCCAGCAACGGAAAAACGGGCGTGGCAAGTGTAGTAGCTGTTCTGATCAGGATAAAAAAAATAAAAATAAAAATAAAAACAGGCACGCGGGCGATTCGGTACCGAGCTTGAAGGAGTGGGGGGGGGGGGGGGGGGGGGGGGGGGGGGGGGGGGGGGGGGGGGGGGGGGGGGGGGGGGGGGGGGGGGGGGGGGGGGGGGGGGGGGGGGGGGGGGGGGGGGGGGGGGGGCGGCCACGATTACGGGCCGACGGGCGGGCGAACGGGCGCCTCCGGTAGCCTCCGGTAGCGATATCTCACGGCCCGACTCACGGCCCGAATTGCAGGCCGGTAACGCGCCGCAGACGGCCCAGATCGCAGGCCGATCAGAAAGTTTTCTGATCGGCCTGCGATCTGGGCCGTCCGCGGCGCGTTACCGGCCTGCAATTCAGGCCGTGAGATATGACATTTAGCAGTTCTTATATTAGGTGTAGATGTAGATGTAGATGTAGATGTAGAATAAAATGCCGAATAAAAGAAAAGCAAATAGGACAAAAATGTGAGTCTGCTCCCGAAACGTGGCCGTGGCCCACCAGGTCGCACAAATGTTGCGCGGCGTGGGGTCCGAATGATGAAACGTCGGGCCTGCAAGCGGCTGTGTAGGAGCCCATAGCATGCTACTCTCTCTCTCTCTCTCTCTCTCTCTCTCTCTCTCTCTCTCTCTCTCTCTCTCTCTCTCTCTCTCCCCCCCCCTCCCTCCCCCACGTTCCTATCCCCTCTTACCCTCCATCTTTTCCATCTTTGTCATGGTGCCTCTCTCTCTTTCCCCACCCTGCGGTACGCTCTCCTTTTGCACCCAGAGACATGCTGTACCTGGGCTGCCTGTCTCTTCCTAGCTCTCACTCTCTTGGCCTCACTCCACTACATAACGCTATCTGCATCCGGAGCTTGTAATCGACCTGTTCAAAATGTTGGACATATATGAATGCATCTGGGCCAGAAGTGTCCAAATGCATGTATAGAGTTGAGTGAGTGAGGCCCTGTATCTGAAAAGAAAGTCTGTGTCGCAACAAAACATGAGCGCAGAAGAAGAGATACCTCAGACGCATGCATAGGGGGTTTGGATCGCTATGGTAATATGGAAAGGTGGGAAGAAAGAGGGGGAAGATGTTGAGGACGGGAAAAGGGATTACCACCTATGCTTTCAAGATTGGACCCAGATTAACCCCTCTATCCCGCTCCGTCCCCTCTCAGACTTTCCGGATCTCTTCCCACCCCCTCCTTTAGATCTGGTTGAAATGGAATGGTATGGGGGGGATTGCGAGCTAAGGTAGTATGGAATGAGACAGTATCAAAATGGTGAATGTTTAGTGGATGTTTTATTGGGGGATGGGATGGAAAAATCTTTTGGGAGAAGGAGAAACTAGTCTTTCAATAGCAGGTATTTGGCGCCTGGTATAGGGCGAAGAGGTTTCTCCTTTTCCCATTAACCTGCTCAGTCAATCCTCTGGAAGGCAGAGTAAACAATGCTGGCAGGTGCTTTCCTCTGTTTTTTTCTTTGTCATGCTCCTGAATCGTTGTGTACAAGGGACGCTGGACCCGTTTTCCAGCAGGTGATGCTCCCCACCAATAGATGGAGCCTTCTCTGGGTGCTATTGCTGTCTGCTCTTACCAGTAGCACTGGCACTGCAGGGGGTGTTGTAAAAAAAAAAAAAAAAAAAAAAAAAGCAAACACAAAACAGCGCCGCCAACACACATGCGAAAATTATTCATTCCCTTTGGGGGTGTGTTTTGCGCATTTAGTGAGCGGGGCACTGAGGCCCTATATCTCGTGGCCCTCGCCCTTTGAAAGAAACCATGGTTACGCTGGACCCGGACATCGGACCAGTCCAGACGTCCAGTCGAACCCAGTGCATCACGCTTGGGGGGGGGGCCGGGATTTTCGGGCGTCCCTGTCCCTGTCCCCGCCCCCTCGTTTCCACAAAATGGGGCCTATTGGACCCTGCATTTTTGAAAAAATGTGCAGCAGATCTCTGCCACCGATCTGTGGAGATCGGCGGTGGAGATCTACCGCACACTTTCTTTAACAATGCGGGGTCCCATAGGACCCACTTTTCGAATTTCGAAACACGCCTGGTTCTGGCCACTGATCTCGAGATCAGCGGCCGAAATCGGGCGCGTTTCAAAATTTGAAATGCGCCACCCCGCCTTCACTCCGGCCCACCCCTGTTCCCACTTCGTTAGAAACTCTTGAAAATCAATCATCAAACACATCCCCCTGCACCCCCACTCCGGCCCATCCCCACGACGAGGTTGACGTCGCGTTCATTCCAGTCGCCGTCAACCTCCCCGCTGCAGCCCGCGACGTCCAAGCTCGCCAGCCCACCACCGCCATTCTCGCCAGCGCCATCGTGAAGCGGCGCACAATGCACCTCCCATGGCCGCGAAGGGACGTGAGGTAAGTATAGACCTTTTTTTTTTTTTTTTACCATATCCATTCTGGGGAGCATCAGTCCGGTTCCTATTCCACCGGCAAGTCAAAAAATTACATTTTGACCACACACACGTTTCCTTCCATCTGGCCGAAGGATCCCTGAACAGCATTGATTGCTCCAGCAGTGTGGAGGGTTGACTGCCAGCTTGCCATACCTCTACCTTTCCTCTCAGATCCAGATCCCTGAACCTGTCATATCTATTTTGAAAGCAAGAAAGCGATAGAAGATGAGGAGAGCCGCAATCTCAGAAGATGCCAATACAATAATTTGCCACCGAGTTCACGTGGCCAATAATGGGTCTCGTCCAACTGCAGACTGAAGGTAAGTGTGGACCTTAGTTTTTGTGTTTTTTGTTGTTGTTCTTCTTCTTCTTCTGCTGCTGCTGCTGCTGCTGCTGCTGCTGCTTTTGCTTCTTCTTCTTCTTTCTTTTTCTTGTTCATCTGTTTCTCCTCTTGGTCTTCGTCTTTCTTTGTCTTCGTCTTTCTTTTTCTTCGTGGGGTTCTTGGACTGGGAGAGAGAGAGAGAGAGCTTCGCCCCCCACGTCTTGCACCACCATCCCCTCCTCCTCCTGCTCTTCTTTTTCGTCTTCTTCATCTTCTACTTCTTTCGCTCTTTTTCTCCATCTTTTTCTCCTCCTTATTTTTTGTCAGGATCTTGGGGAGAGAGAGAGGGAGCGACCTCCTCCTTCTACTCCTTCCCCTACTACAGCGCAGTCTCCTCACCGTCCTCCCCCCCCCCCCCCCCCCCTCTTTTTCTCCATCTTTTTCTCCTCCTTATTTTTTGTCAGGATCTTGGGGAGAGAGAGAGGGAGCGACCTCCTCCTTCTACTCCTTCCCCTACTACAGCGCAGTCTCCTCACCGTCCTCCCCCCCYCCCCCCCCCAAAAAAAAAAACAGTGCAACTTCAAACTTTTGATGGCGGATTCCGACAGATCCCGGAGAGCACAGTCGGAATCCGGAAAAATAAATACATGAAATTAGCTAGGCTACCAGAGTGGCCCGAGACCACCTACCCGGCCGGGCCAAAAAAAAAAAAAAAAAAAACCTTGGTATAAGTTAAAAAGAATTTCGACATGACCCTGAGGTTCAGTTTATTTTTCTGCATAACATAGTTTTTTTGGGACTTTTCTTTTTTTTTCCTTTTGTTCTGTTTTTGCTTGGACCTTCCGCGCTCCTTGCATGGCTGCGCCGCCCCGGAAAAAAAGGTGACCCGGGCGGCCCAGCTGATAGCCTACAAAATTGGGCATTTTTTAAATAAAACCGGTTTTCCGGTTCACCCCCCAGGGCCCGGCCTGGCGCCGGTCGGACTGAGCCTGCTGAAGCGGCCAGATCCTGGCCCAGGCCTGACAAAAACAGAATATGCCAGATGCATGTCAGATCTCCACGAAAAAAGGTCCACACAAAAATCCAAGACCCGCTACAAAAGATCAACGGATCCACACAACACCAATGATTTCAGCCTTACGATGTATTTTTTTTGCAACGATCCAACGCATCGAGGAACAATTCTCCTTTCACATAAAAAATACCCAATTTGAGGCACGATCGCCAGATTGACCGATCCAAAGGCCAACGGTGCATGAGAACTCAATCGTGGTGCCACCACTTGCTCCACCGCCAGCGACTTTTAGCGTTTTGTTTTGTTAGCTTGCACACAGAATATTAAGACCAACCTTATGAACTCAGAGCAGCAAGGAACACAGGGAAATACAGGAACTCAGAAGAGGGAAGCATTAAGCCGCGACAACATACCTCTGCTGATCTCTTCCCACTGCTACACTCCCGTATAGGATCAGTGGCACCATTCTCCTTTAAGATCCCCTCCTGACAGTGCATCCATTCTTTACGCTGCTGAGTCATCCAAGGACACTGAACATGGACCGAACGGACTTCCTGCCCCCAAGGGTCAGGCCGTGAGCTTCCCCGCTGGTTCATGTTCTCCAGGACAGAATGGTATCCATCTTGTTTCCCATGCCACATCATCTCGGCCTCACTTTCCTTGTCTGTGTTAGGTCGTGAAAGCTGAGCTCTGGGCCAATGATACAGGACCCCCCACTTGCCATTAATCTGAGATCTGCAAGCTTGGACCCCAGGAGCAAGTCCTATGCGCCGTTCAGCATCCATTCTGAAATCCCGCATGATTACTCCAACCCTCCTCTCCTGGATAGGACCACCGCAGCTCCGAACCACTCCCACCCGCGTCATCCCGGTCGTCAATGGAGGATTTGTTACACTTTCTTCATCCCTCCAGTTTGGACACTCACCCGGCAAAACTCTTCTCAACATGGGGCCCACTTCCACAAGGGTGGAAGTGCCTGACACCTCCGCTTTGGATCTGTCAGATGGGCTCGTTGTCATGCTATAAAACCTCACACACTCCTTTTCCCTTGGCTGCTTCGTGGGAGGCTTCACAACATGAAACATCGGCCTCCCAAACGTGGCTTCTGCCGGCCCCTCCGTTCCAACGGGTGATCGCCCAGGCATGAGGAGGTCTGCACTCTCTAATCCACAGCACTCCCCCGAAGGTGCTACCTTCTTTCGGGGCTGGCTGACCTTCACTCGGGCATTGTTCCTCTCATTCACGATGCCCTTCTTCCCTTTGCCAAGAGCAGCCCGTCCCTTTTCAGGTTGTGATGGGCCAACAGCTTCTGCCTTGCCTCTCCGGGATTCTGCCCTGATCACTATTCCCTTTGGGACGCCACTGTCTCCTACTGGCTGGCATCCTTTTCTAAGCATAGCAGGTCTTGCACCCAATGACTTAGCAGACATCATTCCCTTCATACCGCCCTTTTTCTGTTCCATTCCTGAACACTTGATGCTCTGTGTTGCCTTGGAGGATGGCTCACCTCTAACCGCAGCTGTATCTGTAGTTCCAACTCTCCACGTTTGCCCAACAGCGGGTCTCACAGCGGCTGTGCCCAACCGAGGGCCCCTGCCAACAACACGAGTTGGTGTCAGCTCATCGCCCCGCATCTTTGTTCTATTTGGCGTTCCCGGGACAGCTTCAACTCTCCAGACAGGCCTTTTCACACTCATTCGTGACTCTGCTTTGCCCACACTCTGTTGCAACATGTGGCCTGGATCTGCACCCACTGGCTGTCCTTCAAGACCAGCATGATGAACTTGAGATATATCAGCTTTCTTGCGCGTACTGCCTGTTTTCTTGGCTTCCCCAGCCGATCGGCCAGATACACCAGTCACTCCCATCTTTCGAGATGGACCCTTCCGAGGATTCCCGTTATCCAGTACCCTGTCATTTCCAGCAGTACGTGTCGTTTGCTCAATGACTGTCACCCCTGATCCCGCAGCATTCCAATCCCTGCCTTCTGTTCCTAATGTCCCAGGAGCAACTCGAGATGAGCCTGGTTTCTTCTTCCTCGTACCCAAAAGAGGATCCTTGTCATTGATCACAGTGCTGGCAACAGCACCCGTTGATGTCTCGGGGAGGCTGCCCAATTGTGGCTCCTGAGCATGGAACATTCCGCTACTAACAGGATGTCCCATCGCTGAGTTTCTCCACCCCTTGCCACTGCTCGGAGTTCTGGCTTTTCTTGCCCTATCACCTTCCCCAGCTTTCTGAGCTGCCTCCTCACCTTCGGATCCAACCAACTTCTGGGAGCGCACCGCATCGCCACCCACCCAGAACAAAGAGGTTCCTGAGTCCCCACCACCTTGGCCTCGACGCAAAGTCCCTACTGCCTCGCTCAGAGCCTTCTCGGAGGTGCATGCCTCTCTCGCAAGCACTGTCCTTGGGGAGCCTACTTTGCTGCAAGGCTCCCCACAAGATGCCACAGTAGGAGGTTGCCCTGCTGCAGCTGCGATGGGTGAAGTCGTTGCCTCACCCTTTACAGAGGGTGTTTTGACATCAGTTTTCCCTGCACTTCCTCCTGGCTTCTTCTTCGACTTTCCCAAAGATCGCCGCTTCTCAAGTAGTTCCTGAACCTGAACAGACCTCTCCGTCAATTTCCTCTTCCGAACTGGCCTGCCATTAGGACCAATCTGCACTACGTCCTCTGCACACGACAAACACACCAAGGAGACTAAATTCAAAACCTTCCCAAACATAGGGATCAATCTACACAACAAGTTCAGAGAGTGAGGAGAGAGAGAGAACCTTTCACCAGCGGGCACAGTTAATGGTGGGAGACGAGGGAGGGGGGAGGGAGGGGGGGGGGGGGGAACAACTCCAAAGGATTGGTGTTGCAGGGTAGGATACCTTCCTGGACACTCAAGCTTCCTCTGCGTGGTTCCAGCCAGTACCTAGGCAGCCCCGGGCCCCGGTGTGAAATCAAAAAACTTTCTTTTGTAATGATGTAGAAAATCACAGACTGAGAACTCTGATGATTTCAGAGGTTTTGGCGCTCACTGCTGAGATTTCGAAGTCTGTGTGTTTGCTTACTTGCTGGATTCCATGTGCTTGTCCAAGTGCACAATTGCCTGGGTATGATTGTGACCCGCCAGGGTACTTGTATGTTTAGAAGGCCATCGGGTCTGGTACTTACCCATGGTACCCGCCAGGGTACTTGTATGCTTGGAAGGCCCTCGTGCCTGGTATTTACCTGTGGCCGCGGCTTTGTAGGTTGCAGCCCTGCGCAACTGAAAAACACTCAAGAAGCAGGCAGGTTAGGCCTGCGTAGCTAGAAAAATACTTAGCGGGTAGGTAGGCAGAAGAAGACAAAAAGTTAGTACCTTTTGAGGGTGAGTGCATTTTAAAAGTCCAGTAGGCCTAGGTCTGTGGGGTACCAGTCCAGTAGTCCGACTCTAGGGCCTGTAGCGGATGATATCAGACCTGCAATGATGTTCTCCTCTGAAAGGAGGAAGGTACTGGATGCTTGGGACGCCGAGCGGCCTGGAAAGTCACAGCCCAAATGGCAAGCTGCCCGGTAAATATCCTGGAGGTGCTCCTCATTTCACGGTGTGCAAGTTCGGCATCACACTGCTGGAACGAGCGGGTAATCTCAGTGCTGGGGAGGAAGGAGACCTGGAGCTCCAGCTCTAGCTATGGCGGAGCAGTCCAGGTAAGAGGAGGAGGAATGACCTGGCTATTCTGGACAGCATCTTCATCTTCTTGGTTGGTGCTGCACCTGGAAGGCCCCAGAGGGAGTGCCCTGCTTCTAAGAAGGCTACAGGGCAGAGTTAGGCATGGTAGGCATGGTGGCGATGGTAGAGGGGACATATCAGCTTTGCATCGTCCTTTGAACATTGGGGCAAGGGCCCACGGGTCCACTGAGGTTATGGCTCTGGTGGACCTCAAGTGTTTCTGGCAGGAGGAATTACCTGGCATGTACCTTGGTTGCTTCTGCTGACGTCAGCTGGATGCTTTGTCATTTTTGCAGGCGAGTATAGTAGCTGTAAGATCGTAGTCTGAGCGCTGAGCGCCAATAGGGGAAAGAGGTTCAGGTACATTGTTGACGGTGGCGAGAGAGGGCTTTCATTGACAATTGAGTTTGATGCTTCGGTTCTCCTTTGGTGTGATATCAGTGCATTTCTGCTTTCTGGACAGCTTACACCTTTCTGGCTTTCAATGTGATTTTGCAATTTGAAATTCAGTCATTTCGCTATTGCTCATGTTCCTTGCATTAACATATAAACATGAGATTTCACAAAAACTCAAGAAGCCACCTTTCTTATTTCTGCAAACTCAGCCAGAAGTCATTCCAAAACATTCAGGTGCCGCACTTCCATTTGCCGGATTTCCTCCTCCATTGTTGTCGACAAAGGTTAATCTGACAGACTCTAGGAAGGGTTTCTGCGGAATAAGAGGGAAACGGCAAGTTGACAGTCAATCCTCCATAAAATGGACTGATCAACGATGTTCAGAGCTCCTTCGGTCAAATGAACGGAATCACGAGTTTGTACTTTGCACCTTGTGACTGGCCAGGGTAAAATCAACAGTTCTGAAAGGGAAAGTCCAGTTCTTTTTACCCTGGCAACTGGAAAAACATGTCCCCACAGAATGGATATGGAGCCAGACCGTGAGGACATGTTTTACCCAAGAGGGGGGGGGGGGGAGGAGATGGAGGGAGGGGAGAGGAGATTTTGACAGGCCATACCGCCAAAAGTGGCTTGAAATAATGTTTCACCCCGCTTTCCATCACGGATTGTAGGGGGGGGTGGAATGGAGATTCTCTGGTAGGCATGTACCATATGCAGCACACTGCCCTGTGCACTGCACGCACATACTTTGCTACACATGGTGTGCTGCAAGCCTCATCGTCATTTACCACAACCATTCTTATTCCCACGCTGCCAAGAAGTCAAGCAGTTAATCACTGACTCTGTTATTCGCATGCGCTAAATCCGATTTCCATTGCCGAGAAATGTGTGTCCCATGATCACACTCAGCCAATTCATGATTAAATATTTGTTTCCATCCTCAGGAAATGTCCATATTATGAGCAACCCAGCACTCAGCCACTCATTATTGTTCGCATCTCACTCAAACGAGTCAGGGCCATATGTACCTTGTATTGATTCCCCTGCAGCTCTATTGAGCTCTCCACCTTTCCCATTCGCACTTCGAGGAGCAGACTGTTCATCAGACCCCCCCTTTTCTGCTGCAGCGTCCTCGTTGTCACCATCTTCGGCGTGGTTTGCCTCGCCTTCACCCTCAGCGGCCGCACTGCCATCATGGCTCTGAGCCAAGTCTTTCCTTCTTCCACTTTGCGCTTGGACTTCATCCGGGGGACGATCTGGAATAGGAACTGTCGGTAAATAGTATAGGCAATCGCGGGAGTCATCAGAGTCGCTATACACAGACAGTCGTTCCACGGTCATAACGTCCACATCTTCGTCCTCATCTTGCTCCACTTCATTACCTGAGACTCCCTGCACATACACCAGTTGATCAACTGTAACTAGAAACTCCTGAGATGACTAAATCACAGATAGACAATCTGCATTACACGTGATAGAAAGTTAATCAAGAAGAAAGCCCAGGGTTTCCGTTAGCAAAATGATGCGTGAAGGATACTGTGCATGTTCTGCATCTGCAGTCAACAACTAGGAGTCAGCAAATAGATAAAAACCACAGGCAACAGTTGCCAGCTGATGATCAGCAGCTATCAGTCACATTGCATCCAACAGAAACCAGAGAGTCAAAACGGACATGAGAGTCGAAAGGAACACAGGTCATCAAGCCACGTACCATTGGATACTCTGAAGGTGACAATCAAACTCTGTGCTGTGCCCACCCTCCTAAGGGATGTCTGTGATTGGTACTTTGTGTGAGAGAAGCCATCAGGAACACCTCATCGGGCGAAGTCCTCAGCCAGACTACTTGGGTGTGCTCCATGAACTGTCTTTGTATTACATTCATCTCACCGTGATGCATAATTCTACACGGCGAATGGGAGAACATGCATGATGAACAAGCCTTGCTCGACAGACGCATCTCAAACAACGCATGCTTCAGTGAATGTGTGCTCCAGGCACCAACATCCACCTCAGACTGCCACAACATCCCCTCGGGGCAAAAAGAAAAGAGAGGTGAACTTTGGGTGCCGGAATAATTCTTTTGATTTTTCTATTACTTTTTCCCAAATAGATCACCACCCAGTATACCTCCCTGATCTTTTTCAGGGATGTTCTGTCAAAAATTTTGATCATAAAGGATTGCTAAGTCTGTGCACGCCAAATCTTGCATGCTGACCACACTCGGTGGGCCCTTTTTCTGTCAGTCCGTCCAGTCAGCAGCGAAGTCCGAGGAAAGACAGGGTACCCGTCCTGTTTGTACCTAAAAGCAAGGAGAACTGCAAGTGTGTATCAACTATAGGGGACTGAGTGCTATCGCGATGAAAATTGCAGAGCCACTGCCACGAATAGATGACCTGCTAGATAGATTGGAGGAATGCAAATACATCTCAACGATAAATTTAAAATTTGGGTATCACCAGATTAAGTAGCTAAGGAGCACCAACCCAAGGCAACATTCCAGATTAGATAGGAACATTATGAATTTACTGGAATGCCCCTCGGCCTGACTAATGCCCCTGCAACTTTTCGACGTTGCATGAATACGTTTAGGCACTGGCTTGACAGATTTGTAGTGTACCTAGATGAAATCTCAGCATGCAGCGAGTTGCAAGAAGAGCTTCCGGAGCACTTGTGCAAGGTTCCAATTTGAGGGAGAGTCAGTTCAAGCTAAAACCAAAGACATGTAAGTGCGCTAAGCAAAGAGTGCTGTATCTCGGTCATGCTTCAGACGGAGATGGAGTAGAGTCGGAAGATAGCCATCAGGGATTGGCCTACAAAAACCTCACCGAACTGTCCTCCTTCCTAGGCTTTCGTAACCCCATTCCGCAGAAGCCACATCTGGCTATGGGACAAAGACTGTACCTTGTCCTTATGCAGAAGAAGCAAACGTTAATAGATTACCGAGTTCTATAGGCATGCGAGATATAGGCTAGTTTGACTTTGGGTTTCCTTAAGTGCTTTGTAGCCGCTGATGCGCTGTCTAGGAGGGAAGAATTCTTTGGGAATATCAGTGACTACCTAGATGCAAGACAACAATTGCAGCAAGAAATTGGAGATGCCTAGTCGGACAACATTCGTAAAAACATGAACTGCCCGAATGTAAGGACCTCCCAAACACAGACTGAGACACACAGCGGACTTATGAGTTTTGCCAATGGGATGTATGCCTTGCTGTGTTTCCCACTTGATGCTGAGTTTTCAAAGTCTGTGTGTGTGTGTGTGTGCTTGCTGGTCTGGATGCCTGTCTGAGTGCTTGTCGGCTTGAGTGTGTGTGTGACCCACAAGGGCACTTGTTCGTTCGGAAGGCCTGAAGGGCAGGTACTTACCTGTGGCCGTGACATTGAGGGTTGCAGCGGGGAAAACACTCAAGTGGTGGGGAAAGAGGCCCGCGACACTTGAGAGCAGCGGAAAAACACTCAAGTAGCAGGTAGGCCGGTACCACACCAAGCCGAGGTAGATGTGTCGGGTACTCGAGGCCGAGAAGAAGACAGAAGTTGGCATTTTTAGAGGCCCAGTAGTTGTAGGCTAGGTCTAGGCGGGTACCAGTCCAACAAGTCTGAGTCTAGGGCCTGTACGGGCAATATCAGAGTCTGCAATGATGTTTTCCTCCGAAAGGGAGGAGGTAACGGTTGCTTGGAGGCCGCGCGGCCTAGGAAGATAGATTCAGCGAGTATGCAGTGTTAGTTCCTTTTTTGACGGAGGGTTCTTTGCATATTAGGTAAATGACAACGGGCATTCATTGACCATAGTTAATAATAGACATGTTAGATTTACAAGGGAAACAGGAATATCTGAACTATATGATTGCAGTTCCCAGGCATTGGTCCTTCACTTCGTATAGACATTCCTTCGGGTACAGCGAGTATGCAGTGTTGTTCCGTTCTTAGCGAACAGTGCTCTTCGGGGCAGAATTTCCATGTGATGAACTGCTTGAAATTCAGAGCATCACAACATGGCTTTTACCGAAACAGTTGCTTCACCCACTCAACATCCACTGTCATCAGCGGGCATTTAGATTTCACACATTCCTTGCTACGAAGTTAATAAGATACGCTTGGAGTCCTGCATGCCTATGTAATGGCCAGGAGAGGAAATGGCTTACCATGCTGTCAGGGAGTGGCTTGTCAAACTCATCCTCCCTCTCCAAGTACTCTTCATTCATCGATAGTTCCTCGAAGTCCGGGGCGAACGCCGCCCATTTTTCTGTGTATTCTTGTGCCCAAATGTAGACTAAACCTGAACTCGCCACAGAAGCAATTATAAGACGAACCGGATGGCAAACCAGATCAACAACACCCTCTTTAGGCCCTTCTAGAGTAGATTTCAGCGTCCCTTCCTTGCGATGCCAAATGTATGCCTTATGCTCTGTCTTCTGTGAGGAGGCAGCTATGATGTACTCTTCATTCCCACTGAAGCATGCTGCCTTCCATTGGTACCTGTAAAAGGAAAACAAAGCAAATGTTATGATTCTGGCCAGCTCCCCGTGCAATTACTCACAAAGAGACGATGTCATTCAATTGCAACTCGAATGAAAGAGACTAGAAGAAGAATAAGACACGGGAGGAAGAAGAATAGACGAAGAAGAAGAAGATAAACACAAGCTGGAACCAATGTCACCTCGCCTCCATCATCTCTCCCTCATACATCTCCCACACCATCTTATCCTTATCATTATTATTATACTCTTAAACCACTACTACCTTTCAGGCTGGACAGCTAAGTCCTAAATACAACCTATACCGCATTCTTCGCAGGTCAGTGGAGGCCAGGTCGCACAGGACCAAAAAGGCTGGCGGCACCACCCAAAACAAAACAAAAAAGGCCACGCTGGTGCTTCAGCCAAAGCTTGGCACGCAGTTCTGCTCCACCTCGGCAAAAAGAGGCTTGGAGGTAGTGATGGTTTAAAGCAAAACGCAGGTCTCCCGTGATGCTCCCACGTGAAACCTGGGCGACCAGTGGTGGGAAAACATGTGGGACACAGATCGGGCCCAAGGAAAAGCCACACCGAAAATGCTGGGCCCAGGGAAAAGCTGTAGCGAAAACGCGCAGCACAAAGAAACGTTTCTGTTTTCTCAGACTCGTACAAAATTCATATGAACGGTTTGTTTTGATGGGGGGCATGGGTCGTGGAAACATGGCAGAGCTGGGCAGTTGAAGGGAGGGAAAGGCACATCCCACATGCACACACACATCCACCGGTGAAGACGTGAGCGTGACGGCAACAGTGACATGAGGAGGTTAACCATGGAGGAGGGACGACGAGGAGCAAGGTTGAGGAGTGTGAAAGAGTAGAGAAGAGGAGCAGGGAGGACAAGGACGATGTCGATGAAGTTCGATGTTAGATGATGGAGGGTGGAGTAGGAGGGAGGAGTGCAACAAGCATGGATGGAGGAGGGAGGAGGGCGACGAGTATGAATGGAGGAGGGAGGAGGGGGACGAGCATGGATGGACAAGGAGAGAAGGACGAGGAGGGAAGAGGACGAGGGAGGAGGGGCAGCAGACACTTCGCGTCTGATCTGATGCCAGATAAGAGAAATGCAGATATCTGGAAGAAGGCTGCAGGTAGTCTGACTGCTTTAACTGTTATCGAAACACGAGTTGGAGATGTATCTGCTCATATTCCTACCAATGTAATGTCCATTACGGACGGACAAATCCTTTTGGAAACAGAACTGTTTTATCGTGGAATCCAACCTGCTCTTAATGTAGGTCACAGGTTCAAATCCTGTAGGATGCTGAATTCTTTGGGAGAGTGGCCGAGTGGTTAAAAGCGACAGACTGTAAGTCTGTTGAAGGTTCATATTTCTTGTTGAACTAGTTTTGACTGATGTTTTCGCAGTTTTAAAAAGCGAAATTCGTCACAAACAGTTTCACGAAAACAAGCCTCTAACGAGGCCTGTACATGATGGGAGAATTGACTTGAAAAGGCAACAGTGTTTTGAACTTTTGTTCCATTTGTTGACATAAGTACGTCGTGAGGCAGTTCGGTTCCTATGTACCGTTGGTGATTTGAAGAAAACTGAGAAAGCCATAGGAAAAGCTCTATCTTGACAAATCACTTTACATTGCCTGCGTTTTAAATTTTAATTAATCTTTAGCTACGCGCAATCTACGTTTTTGATTGACTTGATTTGACATATGGCTCAACTTTTTTGTCCGTGTGCCAGCACGAAGTGTGGCGCCAGAGTTTCCATAGTACAATGAAAATGGAAGGGAAACAGTCAGTGCCAGGATAGAATCAAGAAGTGAACCACGAATCTCAATTCTCTTGTCTAGACCCAAGCAATTGCGCACACAGCCCAAGGCCAAGGGCACAATTCTTCCAACCTGCCGGTTGCCGGGGAGTGCCTTTTCCACTCACTGTTTTTCCCACTTGATATAGCAATCAAAACAAAAGCTCAGAGAATGATATAGTCCATCTTTTATTTTATTTAAATTCAACATCTGGTAGTCCATGCCATAAACGATGGACGAGCATGGATGGAGGGGGAGGAGGACAATGAAAATGAGGGACGAGGACAGAGGATGGAGACTCGAGGAGGGATGGAGGAGCGTGATGAGCATGGATGGAGGAGGAGGGAGGAAGGCGACAAGCATGCAGGGAGGGGGAGGGAGGAGGGCCACGAGCATGGATGGAGGAGGAGGAGGGAGGGCATCGAGCATGGATGGAGGAGAAGGGAGAAGGGCAACGAGCATGGATGGAAGAGGAGGGGGCTCCTTCAGATAAGCGCAACAGACAGACGCACAGACCAGTATGGCGCATTCGTCCTTTCTTTTTTTTTTTTTTTTTTTGTGAAGTCAAGCACACACGACGCATCAAGAACAACAGCAATGGTGATGCTGAGGCGGTCGACCCTGGAGGCACGACGAGGAGCAGAGCTGGAGGAGGGAGGGGGAGTAGGGAGGAAGAGTAGGAAGGACGATCACGATGACAACGAGGGACAAGGCTCGAGGAGGGAGGAGGACAAACACAATGGCGATGGGGAAAGCACACACTCGTGCGCCTCAAGAGTCAGTGGAAGTCCAACAAAACAGTCAAGCACAGTCAAGCTTTTTTTGCGGTGTTGTGTAGCAAACGTGACAACCCACACAACCCACACGCACCAAAGATGGCAACCCACGCAAACGCGTGTGCGAACGACGCCACGAGGAAAGACATGATTGTGGCGAGATTGAGGACGGAGGAGGACGAGGAGGGCAGGGGAGGTCACTGTACGACATCGAGCATAGAATTCTCCCAGCAGCCGATCAACCAATCGATTAAAGCAATCGGTCAATCAACTGAAGCCCTCCCCCTGCTAACGGGTGCTCAGGATAGCCTGGCTTGCATTTTCAGAATCACACTGGAGCTTAGTGATTCTATCGGTGAGGTACTTGGTTTTCTGAGTTCGGATGTGGATGAGTTGCTCATAAATCGCTCGAGACCACAACACTTTTTCTACTACGAGTTCGTGGGCATGTGATGATCAAGCGGATGTGAGTGTGTCAACCCCACAGGTTTCACGATCCAGAATGCAGCGCCCGTAAAATAGAAGTGATGATACTTTTCAAAAATATCAGTTTCACCTCGCGTGCCCTCTCTTTTCTCCCCCCTTTATTCCAGCAAGAGATCCGGTTTGCTTACATGTGAACAGTGTTGCCATACATGCAAGCAATAGTCCACAAGGCAGATGATTGAGGGAGGAAGAGCAGAGTCGACGACTCTAACGGCCGGAGGCAGAGGGAGAGGTCATAAAGACTTTTTTTTTGTTGGGTTGGGTTGGGGGGGGGGATGGGGAGGGGCAGGAAGGAGAGATGGAGAGAAATTCACATTTTGTTGAGCAGGCCCCCCCCCCCCCCCCCCCCCTCATTTCCTCTCACCCCCGCCACTGGGCTGCGGCATCACCTCGGCGGGTCCACTTGTTATAAATAATAAGCAACAACAAAGAGCCAGACTCAACTGCCTGATTACTGCCCCGCGACATATACAGCTCTCCTTTGAACTCCTACACCTCCCTTCCTCATTGGTATGGCATCTAGCTATGACGGCACATCCAAGCATAGCTCCAATGTTCAAAGGACAACGCAAAATTGACATGCCTCCTCCCACTTCAGCCACCAAGCCTACTCTAACAAATGAAGTCATTAACCCACTGGTACCCCCTTCGGGGACCTTCTACGTGCACCGCCAACCAAAAGGATGAAGATCCAGTCCACTGTAGCCAAGGTAAGTCTTCTCCTTCACTCTCCTCCTCCTTTCACCCTCTATTCCACCTCCATAGCCTGGTAGACACCTCTACTACCTGCCGCCAGGCTGCCTGGCCCTTCTCCTGCCTCAGCCTAGGTCAGAGATCATAGCTAGGGTGGGCGGCAGCTCTCCACCTATGCCGCTGCTTGGCACTCACCACCCAAGCTACCCAACTAGCAGCCTGACTGCCGTCAAGTGAGGAAAGAGCAGCAACTCACCACTCGCAAAGATATACTTTGGCGCCTGCCTTAGTGTCCAGTGACTTCCCATCATATGCAGCCTCCAGGCCCTACCGCTTCCTACTCTTTCTGGTGTGCAAACCGTTGCAGGCTGGACCTAGACTCTTCCCGCACTACATTCAGGCTGGTACCTTCGGACTTCTCTGGGCCCACACGCCTAACTTTTTGCCCTTTCTGCCTACCTACACGGTACTTCTTCATTTTGGTCACTTTAGGCCTACCTACCACAAGCCTATGGTAGCCCAATAGCCCTGTACCCGCTGCACAGGCCACCATTACAGCAACAAAGGTTAATACCAGGCCTGAGAGGGCCAAAGCAACACACAGGCCATCATACCCAGTCACACAAACACTCGAGTACTCAAACAAACAGTCAGACACACGGAACACAGATATCAGCAACCACCACACAAGGATCAGATTCAGAAAATAAGAAACCCAGAAAACCCATGGAACAGCTACAAAAACTCACACAGAATTCACAGTCTCCAATTTTGGAGATAATTACAAAAGCAAATTAGAGCACGCACAGGCACAAGACAACAAAACAGGGAAACAGGGCAGGCAAATAGGATTGCCCATAAGTCCTAGGCCCAAGGTCAGAAATTCAAGGAATGGCACGTGAGGGGAAGAGATGAAACCGGCAGGAGTAGAAAGCCAAAGAAAAGGTCCCGAAAATCCCACAGCCCATTCGTAGAAAGAGCTACAGGCCTGTGGGACACAAAAGAGTATAAAAGCAGCAGGGAGGAGCAGAAATAGGCAGAGAAGAGAGACTAAGTGCGCAGAGAAGACAAAAAAGGATAGAAAAGGATAGAGAGACTAAGTGCGCAGAGAAGAGAAAAAAGGATAGAGAGACTAAGTGCTACGACCTTTCTGACTGGAGTTGGCTGCACTACCTTCCCTGCACCTAACCATACATAGTGCCAGGTCAGAGCATGAAAAGCAAACAATTCAGCCCACACACATTCTCGATGTGGCCGAGTTCATACAGATTCTCATTACCTGATTCTGAGTGGCATCCAAGCATCTAGCCAACAAAGCAACAAGTGAAACGTGCACAATAGAATAAAGAGAGGCAAAAGAATGCCGGAGTCAGTGCAGGGGTGACGCAAGCAAAGGTGGTAAAAGGCTCGACATTAGTAACTTACCAGACTTACCTATTCACAGCATCCTGATAACCTCGCACAAAGACTAGCAGTTCTGAGCAGCGCCGCTTACTGCCTCCTCCAATCAGTTCTTCACAAGGTGTCCCTATTACACTCCCACCTCCACGTCCTGAGCCCTGCATTGAGTTCCAGTCATGGGATGACGTCATGGCGCCTCCCTGTTCATCTGCAGAAACCAATCTCCTGCCTTCCATGATTTTTTTCGCCGCTTCAGCAGCACCTTCCTTGGGCAGCAAGTTCTCAAAGACTCTCAGAACACGATCATTCGAGTTTGTCAGAAGATACTTTCCACTCCGGCTGAAAGCCAGTTGCCGAATCGGTGTACCACTAGTGACCTGAATTACATCGAGGACATGGCACGTCTCCATCTCCACAATCAAAAGCTGGCCTCTGGAATTGCCGACGTAAACCACATCTCCCCTCTTGTTAAAACAAGCAGTTGATGGCATATCGATGCCGCCTTCTCCATTAGAGCTGGGAGGGGCAGGTGTAAACCCACAGCTGCCCCCTCTTCTCACGCTTGTGACACCCCTGTCCAGTGGTGATCCAATACCACGATGATAGGGGGGAGGCGAATACACAGGCACGGGCAGCTTTTCACCGCTACCAATATCAACAAGCAGAGGTGCTCCGTACACAAAGCATACAAGACACAAATTGTTTATAGAGGGATGCATTCTGGCCGTCAAAACCATCCGATCAAATTCTACAGATGCCTCGACATTACCAGTGAGGACATCCCACAGCAAAATTCTTTTGTCGATAGAGGCCGAAAGAAGTTTCCATCCTCGTTTTGACCAGCTGACACTGATGATTGGTGAACTCGACGATTCGGAAGACAGCTCCTTCATGACAGCCCTTGTGTCAAAGTTCCATATTGCAATGGTCCCATCTTGACGCCCAGCTATCATTTACAGGAACACCACCCAACGGTCACATCTCCCTCCCACCACCCAGCCCATCCTCCAGTGAAAACACCATACCTCATTGATAAGCCACTCCCCAATCAAACCCAACATATCCCGCCCAGCTCCACCCAATCCACAACCAGGCATGAACCCCCACACTGCTATGGAATAAACCACATTACCAATTGCATCCCAAGTCCAGCCAGGACCTCCCAACATCTTCCCTAAGAAAGCCACGAGCCAAAGTTTCTTAAACTTCTCTTCACTCATCGGTCCAAGCAGGGATGCTCACCTCACCACAAAGCTCGCTTGCATAAACAAAAGGCCAAAACCACAAAAAAGCCCACAACCACCTTAGATCAGTGATTTCTCCTCGGCAGGAAGGTCAAAGGCTCAGGTCCTGAGTACCATGGACATTCCAAATTGAAAACAGAATTGTCAGCTGTCCGTGGAATGTGCCCTGCCTCATTGGCAGGGCACGAAAACAGAATCAAACGAAAACACAAAAACTAAGACAACCAGAAATGAAACTAGCTACATTTCTGGGTAGATGCGTTCCAAACAGTACCCACTGTCCTTCCCCGACTTCCTGCTTTTCAACTCTGCAGGTTCTTTTTTTTTTTTTTTTTTTTTCTTTTGCAATGAGAAGAGGTTAACAGAGCCCTAAATTTTCAGGTTTTTTTCAGGGTCATTATAACAAACAAACGCCCCACACCTTTTAAGCCAGACTTGTCACCAGTCCATCGAGTGGACACCAAATAAACCAACAGCAAAAAAGATACAAAAAAACGGATCAAAGGGGCCTAAAGGCAAAAGTGTGTTTTCAACTTTTCATGCAAAATTCGCTCTTTTCAGTTTTCCAGGATTTTCAGGGCTGGTCAAACCAGTCATCTCCAAGACCCCAACAAACACCAAATTTGGCACACACAGACCTTGACCAAAAATAAAACAGGGCCCAACGAAAATTCAAAAAAAAACTTAAAAAAAATCCCCAAACGCAGTCCTTCGGGACATCCGTTAAAATTGGAACGATACAGAGAAGATTAGCATGGCCCCTGCGCAAGGATGACACACATAAATCGAGAAATGGTCCAAATTAAAGATAAATAAATAAAAAATCCCCAGATGCACTTTTCAGTGTTGGGGATATTAACCTGGGGCTGAAAAGTGGGGGTCCCTGTTAACCACTTGTGACAAAAGAGTTCGTTTGTTAATGGAGGAAAAACTATTTGCACCCGGATTAGCCATCAGTCTTTTATGATGTGGATGGGGGCTGAAGTGCAGCATCCATCCGTTTTGGCATGAGAAGCGCAGGTCTGATGAAAAAAGGCAGCAGATACCCAGGTGGAGACAAAGTAGATTGGATGGGGATGTAGGGATTAGCGAGCCGAGGTTTTGTTTGGGGGGGTGGGGGGTAGAGAGACAGGAGGTTTTCTTGAAATTGCAAACCATATGGGCGATTTTGATACACAACTAATGATTCGTGGCAATGAGGGCGCAGAGGAAAAAGCACCCTACTGCTCATTGAGCAGCATCCATTTCGAGAATTTAGGCACATACTAGGACAATGGCAATTGCTCTTCTCACATTAAAACAGGGGTAAGGATCATACATTCAGGTCCGACAAGACAGTGTAGAGACAACCGCATGAGAAAAGTGCAAAACGACATGAAAAGCAGCACACTCATGAAGGACTAACACACTTTCAGTGCCCTGCCTGTTCCGTCCGGAAATTACGGACAGGTATGCCAAGCCTCGACTGCTGCTGTAGCCCAGAGGTGCTTTGCTCAGTTTAACTGCCACATGTAGTTCACACAAACGTAGATTGTTTCGGCATAGAACTTGCATCTGCTCTCTCTCTCTCTCTCTCTCTCTCTCTCTCTCTCTCTCTCTCTCTCTCTCTTCCTTGCTTGGTTCTTTGCTTGCTTGTTGGTTTGCTCTGAATAGGACAGATTTGCAGGTGTAGCCCAGAGGTGCTTTGCCCAGTTTAGCTGCCACATGTAGTTCACAAAAGGGGATTCTAGATTGTTTCGGCATAGCACTTGAAAACGCAGCGTCCGGAGCACATTCCGGCCCTCCAACCCCAGCTCCGTACTCCCGCTGGGCCAGGTACTACATGACCACATACCATTTTGTGACACTCGGAGACGCTGGACCCATTTTCCAGCTGGTGATGCTCCGCACCACTGGACAGGAGCCACAAAAAAAAAGGATTTCACCACTGTCCAAAAAAAAAAAAAAAAAAAAAAAAGAGCAGCGTCCAGCAACAACCAGATCTCGAGATGCAGACCTTTACTTGTCACCACATCAACGTGCCTCACAACTGCAGCCTTGCAGCCTCTGCAGAATGTTCACAACCTATGTCCCCTACTTAACATCAAAACACGACATCACAGAGAGAGAGAGAGAGAGAGATTCCAATACCCCCCATCAAATAGAAGGACGGGCAACAGAAACGAAAGATGATCCAAGACAGCAAGGGAGTTGGAAAAGAAGAAGCACCTGCCAGTAGTGTGCCTCGCCGATTGAATGCTGTGCTCCTGGTGAAGCCATTTTCCAAGTACTCTTCAATTACCTCTGGTAACCCCTGCAAACAGTCTTCACACAAGACCGCCATTTCACAAGTCAAGAAGATTTGCAGACACGGCTAGATGGAAGACACTGGTATTCGCCGATATGCAGAACTTGTCATGGGGAATTGGTATAAAAGAATAATAATGACATCGGACTCCGTTGGCTTCCAAGCACCAGAGGAAACAAGCATGTGCTTTAAGACCATCCATGCACGACACTTCACACCAAGCTCACACCACAGGATGCACACACAAGGACCACACGCTAGATGCAACTCAAACATAGCCTCGGACAATCAACTCGATCATACAAACATTGTCTTTGTACAAGACAATGTGTGGATATGGCCGCCAGGCAAGCTCTTCCAGATGTGCTCTCCCTACCTTCAATCTCACTCCTCTCTCTCTCTCTGACCCGCATCTTTCCAAGTACCCCTCGTTTTTTCTCCCTCTATTGCGCATTCGACCCAGCTATGCCTACTGCCGCCCAGTGCCGTCGACTACTTCCTCTTGGCAGTGCACAACAGCGCATCCCAAAATAGTGGAGCAGCACTTCTGTCTGGTCATGCAAGTTAATGTGTTGTCACCTTCAACAACTGGAATTTTGTACCTGACAATTTGTCTTCCGGACTTCCTCTACCAGTTGTGGTGCAGTTCCCTGCCAATGTTTGTCACTTCTAGAAGTTGCGGAGTTTCCTGGGGGCTCTGCTGCTGACTGGACCGACTGACGAAAGGGCCTACCGACAATACCTATCAGAATCTCCCTACATCGGCCTACTGCAAACTAACCTACCTGGGACACGGGAATATGGTACAGGTGTCCAGGACTGGGACTACTATATGACCGAGATTACAGATCGGACAGGGACCAAGACCAGGCTGACAGCGGTAAAATCCTTTCACACGTCTCAATAGGGCATAATCCACACGTCCTGAGTTTGAATCCTGTGTACTTGAAAAAAATACTTTGGAGTGAGTAGACAGAACTATGTGGCAAACCATATTACCTGTTGCATCCATGCATCTGCCAAATCAGGGGCTATCCAGAAGGTTCACGACCACGAAAGCTTCCCCATCACCATTCATGACATCGAAATGCAGAAGAAGGGGGGTGGGTTGTGTGGGAGTGTTTGTGGTAGAGATGATGGTAATGATGCCGTGTGTGTGTTGTCATGTTCGCTACACACAACTCCACAAAAAATAATGCATGACTGTGTCAGACTGTTTTGTCGGACTTTCACTGACTCATCAGGAGGTTGAATCCCGACAATCTGCCCAGGTTGCATTTGACTGATGTACTAGGACTCCCCCCATATAAACTGGTTGACTTAACTCACACCAACCCTGCAATCCTAGCGTCTGTGTCGACCAAACTCGTGCCAAAAACGGCAGTTAGTCTGGGAAACTAATCTGCCAGAGCCATAAAAGTTGATAAAACCCATTCTACACACCCACTCAGCCACGGATGCCAAATGTGTCTCCAAATGTATCTGTGTGTGGGGCCCCGGCCGGGGGGGGGGGGGGGGGGGGGGGGGGGGGGGGGG